CCCCTCGCAATCTCTCGGCTTTTCTCTGCAGATTCGTTGTATCTGTGGCCAGGCGCTGCTGATTAGGGCGGGCGGCCCTGTTCCTGCATCCTGTCTCTTTTTTGGGCATTGATTTTCACCGAGGGCACATTAAAAATATCCCATCTGACCTTTGGGCATCGCTGAGGACTGTGGAAATAGGTTCCCGCACACACGCGCTCGATGACATTACGGGGAATGGGATGTTTGTGAAGGGCTGAAAAATACGAATGGTTAGAAAACCTGCCCCGATCAGACAACATCTGTCCATCAGACGCACACGCTTGTCGAGGCAGAAACTCGTTTAACGGCATCTCCCAAAGGAAAGAAAAATCACAAGTCGGATCGCATCGATATCTCAATTGCGATTTTAAACGGAGCGCAAATTGAAAAAACTCAGGAGAAACGTCTCCCCACATTGGCTTTACTTTCAGACTATAGCTCAAAAATATCTCAAACGAAGCTTGGATTTGCCAAAACGCCGAAGTCTGCCATCAAATCTCAGAGATCTCAACATGAACTCAGACATTTCTCGCTCTCCAAATTCATTTTATGTATATTAATGCAATGATGTCTCTTCTCCTAATATTGTTGATGAAAAACAAAAAAATTAGGGAAATGAAAGAAAATACAGTAAAATAAGAGTATATAGCTAAAAAAGGTATTAAAATGTGCTTTTTTTTTTTTTAATAAAAATGTGGATAACACCTCATATAATTTTATTCGCTTTAGTGACACAAATGATTAATTGGGTCACAAATTGTGTCTCCGGAGAAAATGTGATTGCTCAAATTTGCTCTTTCATTGCTCTGGAGATCTCATTGTGTTTCAGGTCAACTATGAACTTTAATGATATAAAGTTAATGTGCTTAGAAGAGCAGATCATTGGTAGAATTTGATGAGGAATATTTGAGACCAAATTGAGATTTTAGACATTTTTTAGATGTCTTCTGAAATGCTAGAGGAGGCAAATGTGAGATTCCAGGAGCCTTTTTCTTAGGAGAAACATCTGAGAAGCAGGAGACTTCAGCAAACATCTCTATTTGCTCTCAATTTAATCTCATTGCAATCTAGGAGAAAGATATAAGACATGTCAAGTCAAAAATGCTCACCCACATCATTCCAAACTTGTAAATATCTTTTCTATGGAACACAAATGGAAAATATGAAAACATAAGTGAGTAAATTACACAAATTCTAAAACTACATTACTATACTGTTGTGCGAATCTCATCAGGAGTTGTGAAATCAAGTTGTTGGTATAAACACAACTACTAGTGACACTCACAAGAGATGCAGAAAGAGTCTTTTCTTAACACACACACCACATAAGTGCTGTATACTGTCTGTGTGTGTGTCCTGGTGTATAAACCTCTCTCTCGCCATTCTACCCGTCACAGAGAGTGAAGGCAGCGTGGATCAACCTCATTATCCTGATGAAAATTTGGGCAGATGTGCGAAACCTCTACGACAGACACAAACAGCAGCTCTGTCGCCTGCAGCCAATCAGGAGATGAAAACCAGAGGAAGAACCGCACTGAGAAACGACCACGGCCATTACGCCCAGAGAGAGAGAGAGAGAGACGGGAAAACGCCATTTCTGGTGCAACAGCAAATAAAAGTGAGATTTCAGCCTTTTAAAATTCTGATTGGAAACAAGTTATGAGTTTTTGATGACACAGACGGGGCGAGAGTGTGTGTGTGTGTGTGTGTGTGTGTGTGTGAGCTGTAGTAGTCGTTCTGTGGTTGGAAAGTTAATCTGGCTGTGTTGAGATGATGAGCTGCCTGCCACTTAACAGGGCGGAGATCCACTTTGATCACACGGCCTCGGGCGCAGCCTATTACAAATCACCTCATTTACATACAGCACAGGCTGATGGGAGAACTACAATCCACTCAAAAGGGTTACACCTCTCTAATGTGGAGCAGGAGAGAGAGAGAGAGAGAGAGGAAACAAGGGTGATACCCAAAGAAAAGATGGACAGATGACAGTCGGGAGATCCAGAGAAGATACACGGGTGACCAAACCTTTAGCACTGTGTATTATGCATTTATGCTGCAAACTGTTATTCCTCAAATCATGCATGTTATTGAGAAGAAGTGCATCGTTTCTGATCAGATGCATCGTGTTCACCTGCTGGACTATGAAACAGGTAAAAAACATACCACGAATGCACATCTACAGGCAAGAAGATCACAGATCACTTTTCACACCAGACAGAAAGAAACCACCTAGCAACCAGCCAAAATACTGTAGCAAAAGCAACATGCTGAAGAACATTCGGAGCATCTTAGCAACTGAATAGCAACACCTTGGCAACCACTTCAGCACTGTGAGAGGTTTGCATGAACAAAAAACACTTACATTTTCTTTACAGAACATTCAAATCAGTATAAATTATCAGTTCCCTTTCAGTCAGTCACGTTCGACGTTACGTCAGTCGTGACTGACGAATTGGGATCTCGCCCGAGAGCCCAATCACCTTCGAGTGTTAACTGAACAAGCCAATGACAGTTGGCGTGCGTGTTTCGCCATGCGCACCCCGCCCCGCAGCGCGGGTATAAAAGGAGAGCGCGTGCAAACGCACATCAGCTTTTCGCTTCGGAGCCGAGCCTTCTAGTAAGCAAATCTCCGCGAGTGTTTTAGAAAAACAGCTGGCGTTGGTGTGACGGCGTATCAGCGGGGGTTGCCATCCAGGCTGCTGAAACCTCGGCGAGCTGCAGCTGTCATTCTGCGGTCCCGCCGCGACCTCCCTTGCGCTGTCCTATCTTCCGCCCCAGCTGGTGTGGGGGGACTTGCCGGCTTCCGCAGGGCACTGGAGGGGGTCAGCAATAGTGGCGTTTTCCATACGGATCCCAATTCGTCAGTCACGACTGACGTAACGTCGAACGTGACTGACTGAAAGGGAACGTCTAGGTTACTTGTGTAACCCTCGTTCCCTGAAGGAGGGAACGGAGACATTACGTTCCGTCGCCACAGTTGCTGTACCACCGCTGTACGGCCGGGGCACATAGTCTCGGCTCCTCAGCGAAAAACTGATGTGCGTTTGCACGCGCTCTCCTTTTATACCCGCGCTGCGGGGCGGGGTGCGCGTGGCGAAACACGCACGCCAACTGTCATTGGCTTGTTTAGTTAACACTCGAAGGTGATTGGGCTCTTGGGCGAGATCCCAATTCGTCAGTCACGACTGACGTAACGTCTCCGTTCCCTCCTTCAGGGAACGAGGGTTACACAAGTAACCTAGACGTTATGATTGTAGGTAGACAAAAATCTGGAGTTGAACAGAAACAGAATCCAAAATAAGTCTTCAAAAAGGAAGAAAATGGGGGGTCTGGGGTTTTTTCAGTGTAAGTACAAAAGCAATCACGCATAATGCATAGAATGGTAGAATTTCCTGTCGCAAGGCCAAGGTCATGGGTTCAATTCCCAGGGAAAGCAAGATCTGATTAAATGTAAATGTATATAGCTTGAATGCAATGCAAGGATAAAAGCGTCTGCCAAATGCATAAATGTAAATGTAAAATGAACTTGTGTTCTTATAACTCCAAGTGTAATTTTGAATTAGAAATAAGGAAGGTTTGCAAAGACAAACTTTGCTGAAGTCTTGTCTAAAAGTCTTGAAAAATATGAAGGTTTTATAGGCTGTACACTCAGATCTGTTTGAAATTTCACCTATAGAAATCTGTACTTAATATATAATTCTTTATGTGTAACACATTTAATTACACTCTCTGTAACTCAAAATCATGAGCGTGATATTAGGCTATCAGTTAATGCTTCTCTGGGAATCAAACCCATAACCTTTGCATTTCTAGCTAACAACACAAAGGTCATGGGTTTGATTCGCAGAGAAGCATTAACTGATAATATGTGTACCTTGAATGCAATGTACTGTAAGTTGCCTTGGATAAAAACGTCTGCCTAATTCATAAATATAAATGTAAATGTCCAATTCAACTTCCTGTGGGTTGTGGCCAATTCCATTCAAATTGCAACTCATGAACTCATACAAAAAAGTCAATTCTTCTGTTCAGAATTTTGCACAATTCTTATGTCGACACAGGACTTGCCGTCACTGAGCAGCTCATGTTCTTTACATGTTTGTCTACGAGTTATAGTTTTAGCTGTAAAAATCAAAGGGGCAAAAGCATGAATAACATTGTGTAACTTTCTCAAATCCACAGTGAAAACACACCTGTAAGAGTGGGATCGAACTCAGCTTTGGGTCGAACAATCAAACCAAGTCTGTACATTTACTCAAAGATTGCAAACAAATACATTTGTGTGCTCGTATCAGAAGACGTTTTCAAAACAGGGTTAGTTTGGACTCACGTCCACAGAGCCACGGTTTTGTAGTCAGTGCATCAGTGACGGCTGGAGTGCAAACATCGCCGTGCACATCACAAACACACGCATCTAAATAAATCTGAAATAGTTTCTTCAAATAACATAAAAACATGCATCAGCTCAGCATCAAAGTCAACTGTTTTCCGTAAAAACTAGTGCGTCATTAGATCTGCCAGGAATTGAGAACAGCATTATTTTTTTATTATTGGCAGCATAATAAACAAAAATCAATGCGGGAGAAGACACAAGCAAGCAATTTGTGCCTCATACCGTGGTAACGGTTACTAATTGTCTCCCTTCTTGCAAGAGCAAGACCAGATCGAGCGCCACGCCATCCGCCTTTATGATGCTAATGGCCTCGGCAAATTATCCGTCAAACAGGAAAAACTCTGACTTCATCTCCAATCAGATTCCCCATTCCGCCCCGGATAAAAGCGCAGCACATTCTCCTAAATACCAGCTTAGAGCTGGAGAAAAAGAGGAAAACGCTCATTTTCAATGAAAATAATTCCTCAAACTTTCTTCTTTTTTTTTTCCCAGAATCAGAATTTAAATGGCATTACATATGTAGCACGGCATAAAAAATTAATCTGCGGGAGCCTTGAAATGTCAGTGGTAATGATGGAAGCCTCACCTCCTTTGCTTTCTGCTTCAGACGGGCTTGTTCTGGATCTTCTTGCCGCGAGCGACTCTGGGAGAGAAAGAGAGAGAGAGAGATGGAGGGAGGGAGGATGAACGACAGAAGGAAGGATGGAGGGAGAGATGGGCAGACGGCAGGTGAGAGCGTGTCGTGAGCTCACTTCATCTGCCACACTAAATTAGTTGCGGACAAACGAGGGCAGATCTGATGTGTCAAGGACGGAGTGTGTGTGTGTGTTCAGCGGTGAGTGATTCTACACCCGCAGGCTGTGCCCTCCAAACACACACACACCGCCACAGGCAACTACTAATCAAAAGGCAAAATACATGCATGCACACACTGTTACAAATGCAGGTGCAATCTAGAATCATCAGTGTGTGTGTGCATACAAATGTCAAAAATTCAACAATTACTCAAATTTGTTTGTGTTTGTGTCAAAACTATAAGAGTGGTCTGCAGTTCAAACATGCATCTAGTGGCCCTTTCATCACAAAGTGCAACAGGAATGAGTCCTAAAACCCAGAAATGAGGATTTCCCCAGTTCCATCATGCCAAAGTCAGTGGGTTTTTTTAATGGGTTTTTGGTTAAATGCAAGGTCTGTGTTTAACAAAAGCTCAAGATATTCTCCCATTTTATTTTACGGTATCAAACAAATCATAAATACCCCCTTGTAAATTTTGTAAGTTTTTACATATCTTGAAAAGACGACAACTACCAAGTTTCTAAATGTGACTACAGAGGTTATGGGGGACATTAAATGTTGTCACGCCGAACAGGTAAAACTCATCTACTCACCATATGCTTTTACAGCCTCAGTGTGTTTATACTTGCACTCTTGAAAACCATTATAACTCACACTTTCCAACTTGTAGATTTTATATAATGATTGAACAAGTTGTCTGAAGATTAAATGTGGTCCTGCAACTGTTGTGTAGTTAGTTTATAGCCTAACTGTAGCTTTTTACTTTTGTATTTAGGCTTCAAAATTAATTTGTGAAGATTATTTTGATGAACAAAACGCACAGAAAAAAAAAGGGTTTTATGGGTTTTTAGTTAAATGCCTGAAGTAAGGTCTGTGTTTAACACAAGCTCATTTTCACATTTTATCCTATGACATATAATACATCATTAATATGTTAATAAAATGTTGTATAAAATCAGGCAAATGTTATATGAACAAACCCCTCTGTAAAAACCCTTCAGAATATAGGTAGGAATAAAACTTTAAAGTTTGGTGTATTTAGGTACTGCTCAAGTGAAAAAAATAACTCACTTTGACAAAATAGTCTTTAAAGATGTACTGTATGTACTGTAAAAAGTGCAATAAAATAACCCCTTCAAAGTGTATTTTTCTTTTATGAAAAGCCAAATAGCCTAAAATCTCAAAATTGACCATTGCATGAACAATGTTTTTGCCTATAGCGTCTTGCCTTAAAGACTGAGAGCTGTCAGAAGCTTAGTGGTGGTGATTATCTTGATGAACGGAATGTGTAAGAATCATAAACGTTTGTTGGTCACAGAGCTTATTTTCTGCAATAATCTAAAAGCCAATGGAAAAATCCGGTCCAGGGCGATGCTAAAATACGTCATCCCTGCAGCTCTCTATTCCTGCTTGTGTCTTTAGGTTTGTGTGTGTGTGGTCAGAGAGGGTAAAGCTCTCTGCTGAAGCATTTAATCGTGGCCTTGTGTGATTTTACTCTCATTTGGTCTCTTTTAAAGAGAGAGAGAGATGTGTGAGGTGTGTGCGTGTGATCCTGAGGGCTTTGTGTTTAGGTCTCCGGTCTTTTTTTAATTGCCCCATGAGAACGTCTCCTAACTCTCCTTCTCTCGGCGAGGAGAGGGGCGGCAGTACTCTGCCCTTCCTCGCCGCTAATTGGTTTTAAATATATCAGGCGGTTCACGTACTGGTCGCTATCTCGGCTGAGAGTAATGCGTTTGGCCCCTGGCCCTAGCGCTCGTCCCCGAAGACTCCAGTCATATTTGAAATGGACGATGAGATTTATTTTAGTAGGTTCATGTTTAAGGGGTCAAATCACGCTGAGCTTAAAGACGCAGAGCGAGAACACAAGGACACAAACCAATGCTCCCACAGAATGATCTCAACATAAAATAAAACAAGATTTGTTTGTTCTGTCTGTCTGTTAATATTCATTCATTCATTGTATCCAGACTACACTGGCAATGATTTATTGAGTTCAGAGAGCTACAGACGACACGTTTACGATACATTCGAGCTGGAAACACATAAGCATGTTTCCCTGATCGCATTTTAGGCTTCAGCGGAGTTGAAATCCCTCACGACTGTGATACTTGAGCTTGCGTAACGTCTCATCACGGCCCAAAGTCACAGGGGTCGGCGTGACCATTCGCGCTCGCGTATGAGCTAATCGGTCTCGTTTTGGGAGATATAATCTCGCGCCGCAGCATAATAATGCCATTAGGCCGAAGGGAGGCGAGACTCAGCCGTGCGAGGGGGTCTTTACGGCGGGTCATCGTCTCTGAGCTAAATTAATTAATGACGGAAACGAGCCGAACTGTTTCACTGTGCCGCTCGGGGCGACGGGCGCAGGGCAGAGTGGACGCAGTCGGCTCTTTAATTGGAAAGTCTGTCGTTTGGGGTTATCAGGGGCTTCCTGGTCGTTTCGCAGGATCAGACACACCGCGATGGACACAAATGTAAACTTTGTTCAGACATCCTCAGATAAGTTGTGGGCTGAGCTCTATGAATGGGTGCGGATCAGAGACATGGTGCCAAATTCATGAAAGATGAGTAAGAGCATTTCTGTGTAAATAAAAACACTCTTGGGTTAACTGCCACTGCCAGGTAATTTTGCTATTATAATTTGATATCTGTAAAATCTGATGCAACAAAACAAGCATAAAAATTATGCAAGTATACAAAAGATTTATGAACGTATTATAAATTAGGGATCTGTTATTTGATTTCTTTAAATCAACAAATTATGCAAGAATGCTACTGATTTCTGAGTGATTTGCACAGACATTCATTCTGTTTGTCTTCCCACACATCATCTAATGCCATTGGCTCAGCATCATTGAGACACTATTGAGAATATGTTATATGGTTTTTATTTTTGTATTTTCCATTTTCATTTTTACTTTAAAGTTTTAGTTATTTTTTGTCTGTTTTTGTCATTTTTTTTTTTTTTTTTTTTTTTTTTTTTT